CGGGTTCGATTCCAGTCAAGGGCATGTACCTTGGTTGCGGGCACATCCCCAGTGTGGGGCGTGCAGGAGGCAGCTGATTGATGACTCTCTCTCATCAATGTTTCTAACTCTCTATTTCTCTCCCTTCCTATCTGGAAAAAATCAATAAAATATATTTTAAAAATAAAAAAACTACCTTAGAAGAACAAGGACAGTTTTCTCTTTGATTTCTCTTGCAGATACTACTAAGAGAAGGTAGTTTGGGGCACAAAGGGCTATATAAAAAGTAGTTGTCATTAGATGACTGTCATATAAGCTATCTCAAGGCTAGGATAGGGTAGGAAAACAATATATATTGAGGTCTTATTATAAAAAAAAGTTGAAATAAATAGAAAGCACAGAAAATCAGAGAGAATTAGAACCAAAAGATCATGTATATTCTGAAAAAATAAAGATAAAACAGGGAGGAGACTGAAGTTCAAAAGACAATGGACAAAAGCCCACAATGCAATGTAATACTGATGCTGTTTTCCTTTGGAGAGTACAAAGAGAAAGTCAAGTTAAGATGCTGACATTGAAGGTCTAAGAAGTTATGTATAGCCTGGATGTCTTTTTAAATTAAAAGTAAGCAATTCTGATGTTACAATAATTCATGTCACCGTTAGGGTAATGGTTCCCAACACCCTGAGTGAAACGCGATTATTGGTTCCCTTTTTGCTATGTGCTAACTCAGACATCTTTTCTATCTGTACACCACTCAGAATGGCACCAAAGGCTTTACCTGAAATTAAGAAAAGCTATTGGAAAACAATTAAGAAAAAGAAGAAAAAAAAAAGGGAGGAAGAGAGAATGTGATGATCAACCTTTTCACTTTAAAGGGAGAATTAATGTTGAATATTTTATAGTTTCATTTTATAGTAATATAATTCATAGTTATAAAGAGAACTATAAAATTGTGTTTCCACCATTAGCAAAAGTGCTATGATTTTTAAGACTTTCAAATTAGTTTTGGTACAAACTTTCAGTGTCCTTTTTAGAAAATATGCTAGAAAATGTGACATTTTTCTAGTAGAACAATTAAAACACTATAATAGAATTGGTACAAAAAAATTTTAAATAGATAGTTTTACTATTATTTTTATTTTATTCTACTGATTTTTTTTAGAGAAAGAGAAACATTAATGTGAGAAAGAAACATCGATCGGTTGCCTCCCACACATACCTTGTCCAGCAATCAACCCACAACGTGGGCATGCGCCTTGACCGGAAATCAAACCCTTCAGTGTACAGAACCATGCACCATCCAAACAAGCCACACTAGCCAGGGTTATATGGTTTTACTATTAGAAGAGAAAATTGACAAAGTAAAAAAGTTGTAAAGGTGTGTTTAAGTTCAAGTGCTGGATCTGGAAATATAAAGAGTAATCATGTTAAGTATAGCATTCACGGCAATAATAAGCAATCTTAGACTTTTTGAATTACTTAATTTTTTTTTTAAATTGTGTTCAAGAACTAGTAATATTTTTTTAATGTGGTTTGGACAAGTGTGCAAAACCCAAATAAACAGATATCAATTTCTAAAAATGAAAGCTTAAAAACATAAAAGCTTAAGAAGTCACTCAGAAACAATTTAAGTGTCGTCAAAGAAAGAAAAAAAAGGATTGTTATCTGCCTGTGATGATTAATTGTATGTGCCACGCCCCTCTTCAGGAGTAAGGGGTGCCCAGATTAAACATTATGTGGAGGTGTCTGTGAGCATGTTTCCAGGGGAGATCAACATTTGATTCAGTGTCTCAAAAAAGTAGACCAATGGTGGGTGGTCCTCATCTAATCCTTTGAGAGCCTAAATAGAACAAAGAGACGAAGGAGACATTTGCATCTTTTTACTTCTTGCCTACTTGTTGAAGCTGGAAGCTGCAAAGTGGGTTTCTCCTGCCTTTGAGAATCTGATCCCCAGGTTCTCAGGCCTTTAGACTTGGACTAGAACTACACGACTGGTTTTCCTGGGTCTTTAGTTTGCAGATGGCAGATCATGGAACGTCACAGCTCCCATAATCACATGAGTCAATTCTTCATAAAAATCTCTTCTGCCCTAGCTGGTTTGGCTAAGTGGATAGAGGGTCAGCCTATGGAATGAAGGGTACCAGATTCGATTCTGGTAAAGGACACATGCTCAGGTTGCAGGCTCGATCCCCAGCAGGGGGTGTGCAGGAGGCAGTGGATCAATGATTATCTCATCACTGATAGGTCTAACTCTCCCTCTCCCTTCCTCTCTAAAAGCAATATATATATAACTAGAAGCCCAGTGTATAAAATTCATGCCTGGGGAGGGGTCCCCTCAGACCAGCCTGCACCCTCTCCAATCCAAACCAGGGATTGGGCTTAAACCGGCAGTCAGACAGCCCTCTCACAATCCTGGACCACTGGCATCTAATCGCTCACCTGCCTGCCAGCCTGATCACTGCTAACTGCCATTCCCCCCGCCAGCCTGATCACCCCTCACTGTCTCTGCCTGACAGCCTGATTGCCCCTAACTGCTTCCCCCCTGCCCCCGCTGGCCTGGTTGCTCCCAACTGTCCCCCCACCCCCTGCGTGCCTGGTTGTCTTTTACTGCCCTCTCTGCCAGTCTGGATGCCCCATGCAACCTGCTTGTTCAGTCATTTGGTTGTCCTTCACTAACCCGCCTGCTGGCCTGGTCGCCCCACGCAGCCTGCTGTTCAGTCATCTGTCCAGTTGTTTCAGTTGTGACAGCCCCTGGCTTTTTATATATTAGGATAATAAATAAATAAAATAAAACCATTTTTTTAAAAGGTAAAAGATATATACCAGTTCAGTCTGTAAATATACAGATCATGGCAGAATTGTGGGCTGCTATAAACTTAATAAAGTGATAGCCTCAATCATAGCTGCTGTGCTTTGGTTTTAACTTTATTCATCACCTGAGATGTTTATTGATTCTATAGAGATGAAGGGAGAGAAAGAAACATCTATCGACTGCCTCCAGTACAAACCCTGACTGAGTATTGAACCCCCAACCTAAACTTGTTCCCGGACCAGGAACTGAACCCACAACCTTTTGGTGAATGGGATAATGTTCCAACCAACTGAGTCATCTGGCCAGGGCTGCTGTGCTATGATTTTAATGTGCTGTGTATGAAACAGATTGACAAATTCAGGCATATGGTATGTAGTCATTAATCTAGCAAATGCAGTATTTTTAATCCTTACCAGGAAAAAAAAATCAGAATTAATTCACATTTATTTGCACCATCAATATACATTCATGGTCTTGACGCAGGGTTATAGTAATTCTCCTGCTCTTTGTTACATTATAGTAAAAATACTTTTTTTTTTAACTCCTCACCCGAAGACATGCTTAGAAAGAGGGAGAAAAAGGTGAGAGAGAGAGAGAGAGAGAGAGAGAGAGAGAGAGAGATGAAAGAAACATCAATTGGTTTCTTTTTTTTTTTAATTATGTATCCCAGTGGTGTTTTTTTATTTTTATTTTTTATTTTATTGATTTTGTACAGAGAGGAAGGAAGAGAGCTAGAGAGTTAGAAACATCGATGAGAGAGAGTCATCGATCAGCTGCTTCTTGCACACCCCTACTGGGGATATGCCGGCAACCAAGGTACATGCCCTTGACCGGAATCGAACCCGGGACCTTTCAGTCCCCAAGACGACTCTCTATCCATTGAGCCAAACCACTCCCGGCCAATTGGTTTCTTTATACATGCCCTGCCTGGGTGCCTGAGGACCGAACCTGCAACCTTTTGGTGCACAGGATGGCACTCAACCAACTGAGCTACTCCAGCCAGGCCAAAAAGAATTTTATGTGTGGACATTCCACAGGACACTGTGCATGTCCGTTACATTGACGGCATCTTGTTAATCAAGCTGGGGTGTTGGGAAGACGATGGAGAGGGGCAAGCACTACTCTAAATGCTCCGATGAGAAACATGTGCATCGGAAAGTAAAAGACTCTGCAATGATTCAAGGACCTGCCCCATGAGTGAAGTTTCAAACTGAGTGAGACTGGGGGCTTGGTATTCTGAGACGTACCATCCAAAGTAAAGAACGATTTATCACACCATGCACCTCATACCACTAAGAAAGAGGCACAGTGGATAGTAGCTCTTTTCAGATTTTTAAGACAATGTGCATGTTCAGGAATCCAAGCGGTAGATCAGATACCGCCAAACACTGCCAGTTTTTACAGTCCTCCCGAGGAGCAGCAGCAACTCTGGGCTGTGCTATAATACAAGCAGCCCTGCCATCTAGGCTTCCATCCAGCAAACCCTGTGGTGCTGGAGGCTCCTGTGGTAGACAAGGACATGCAGCCTCTGGCAAGTCTCAATCAGGAGAGCTGGTCTGCAAACCTCCCATGTTCTGGAACAACAGCAGAGAATTACACATCTAGTTTTTCTTGTCATCATCATCTTTCCAAAATTCTCCAACTGAAATTGATATTTATATAAAAGGTAGAAGTCCCATGTCCATATTTCCCCATATGGGTAACTATTTTTTCCAAAACCCCTACTGAAAAGTCCACTCTTTCCTCGGTGCCCTACGATCCTCCCTGCCATGTACCAAGCATCACACAAGTATGGTGAGTGTGCTCGTGAGTTCCCTAGTCTGTTCCATGAAGCTCATCTATTCCTATGCCTGTATCTCACTGTTTACTTTTTTTAATTTTAGTTCTCAATGATAGTTTACATTTAATATTATTTTGTATTAGTTTCAGGTGTACAGCAGAGTGGTTAGACAATCACATATTTTACAAAATGTTCCCCCCATCTTTCAAGTACCCACCTGGCACCGTACATAATTATTACAGTATTATTGACTATACTACTGGCCTGGTGCACAAAACTCATGCATGGGGGCGAGGAGGTGTCCCTCAGTCCGGCCTGCACTCTCTCTAATCTGGGATTCCTCGAAGGATATACTACTGCCAGTTTATAGGGATCAGGCCTAAATCAGCAGTCAGACATCCCTTTTGCTGGCTCCTAACTGCTCACCTGCCTGACTACCTGTCCACCTGCCCTCCCCACTGGCCTGCTCATCCCCAACTGCCCCCTTAGTGGCCTGCTCATTCCAAACTGCCCCCCACTGTCCTGACCATCCCAACTGATCCCCACTGATGGCCTTCTTGCCCCCAACTGCCCCCCCACCAGCCTAATAACCCCCAATGACCCCCCCCCCCCCCAGCAGCCTGATCATCCACAACTGCCCTCCCCTCTTGGCCTCTAAACACCTCTACCTCAGCCCCACCACCATGGCTTTGACCAGAAGAATGTCCGGAAGGTCTCCTGGACGGTCTCCCAGTCTAATTAGCATATTACCCTTAGTACAGAGGCCTGGTGCACAAGTGGGGGCTGGCTGGTTTGCCCTGAAGGGTGTCCCAGATCAGGGTGGAGGTTCCCTTAGGTAGGGGTGTCGAACTCAATCAGAGAAGGGGCCAAAATCTAAAATCCAGCCTAAATCGCGGGCCGAATGGTTTACTGAACAGTCATAAACTGTCATTGTGATGGAAACGCAGCGGAGTGCAGTGATGACAGCGCAGTGCGGGCCACATTGCAAGGCCTGGCGGGACGGATTTGGCCCTCGGGCCTTGTGTTTGACACATGTGCTTTAGGGCATGGGGTGGCATGGGCGAGGGGCCTGTGGTCGTTTGTAGGCTGGCCATACCCCCATGGGGTGAGGGTCCCAGCTGGGGGTGGGTGGGAAGTGGGCGGGGGAGCATGGCCAGCCTGGGTGAGGGGCTAATGGCTGTTTGCAGGCTGGCCAAGCACCCCAGCAAGAACTCTTATTCTATGAGAACGTGGCCAGCCTGGGTGAGGGGCTGAGGGCCGTTTTCAGGCTGGCCATACCCCCAGCGACCCAAGCTCCCAGGCCCTCCTTTTTTCTTTTCCCCCAGCCCCTCCTTGAATGGAGGCCAGGGTGGGCTGGAAGCCTGGGTCTCTCCTGGCAACCCAGGTGCCCAGCCACTCCTTCAGTGGCAGCCAGTGTGGGTGGGAAACTTGGCTTCCTCCATCACGGGAGGCAACTCAAGCCTCCTGCTTGCTCCAGCTCCATGGCCACCACCATATTTGTTGGGTTAATTTGCATAATTGCTCCTGTTTGGCTGGTGAGCGTAGTGGAGGGACAGTCAATTTGCATGTTTCTCTTTTATTTGCGTAGATTCCCTATGACTATTTTATAGTTACCATCCCTAAAACTATTTTGTAACTACCAATTTGTGGTTCTTAATCTCTTCACTTTTTCACCCAGCTCTCCAAACCCCTCCCCTCTGGCAATCATCAGTCTATTCTCCGTCTGAGTCTGTTTCTATTTTGTTTGTTCATTTATTTTGCTGTTTAGATTGTACATATGAATGAAATCATATGAATACCTCACTATTTTAATTACTAAATCTTTATTTAAAATTCTAATATCTGGTAAGGAGGTACTTCCTTACCTTAGCTGTCTTTGGAAGTGTTTTTGGCTAATTTTGACCTTTTCTTCTTCTATATATAGTTCCAAATCAAGTTTGTCATGTTCCTTAAAAATCCCTGTTATAATTTAGTTTCTATATTTAAAGATTTAAAAATTATATATACCTCCTTCTTAGATTAGGAAGATAAATGCTGTTACAAGATATTTTATTTAAAATGTGTATACATGTAGTATTTGTATTGTGTATACACACTTATGTATTAAGATGTGTTCCTGTCAAAAATTATAAAAATCACTGCCCTCAGTCATCCAGAGGCACCCTCGGCACTGGTCCCCCCTTGAGCCTTCTCTTGTCCATTTGGTATTGACTTCCTTATTAACTAAATTAGAGTGTTTTATACATGGGGTGACTCAATGGGTGAGCGTCGAACTATGAACCAGCGGGTCATGGTTCAATTCCCAATCCCAGGCTGAGGGCTGTGGAGCATGTAAGAGGCAGCCGATCACAACCGAAGGACTTGTATACATGCATATAAGTACAACCAATGGACATAAAACTATGGGGAGGGAGGGGATATGGGGGAGGGAGGGAGGGGGGCAAAAAAAATCATTAAAATATGTAAAAAAAATAAATTAATTAATTTAAAAAAATGAAAAAAAAAGAGATCATAAAAAAAAAGAGTCAGCCGATCAATAATGCCCTTTCATCATTGATATTTTTCTCTCTCGCGCCCTCTTTCTCTCTGAAATCAATAAAAATATATTTAAAATAAATAAATAAATAAATAAATAAATAAATAAATAAATAAATTAGAGTGTTTTTTAAGCGGCATGCTCTTTTTATTTTTTAAATTTTCAACAACAGTTGACATATAATATCATATTAGTTTCAGGTTTAACAACTTATGAAGTGATCACCCCTTTGATAACATACATAGTTATTTCAATATTATTGAGTATATTTCCTACACTGCACTTTACATTCCTGATAAACCCCATGCTTTTCTCTCTGAGTTTTATACAGATCTCTGGGGGAGAACTGCTGACAGTGGTGCTGGAATTTGAAAGGGGCTGGGAGGAAAAATCCAGAACGTGTCCTGCCTCCCTCAGGTTTGGTCATACAGGACCATCTCTCACACACCTGTTTTGTGTTGTCAGCTGGAAACTATTGTGGGTTTTTTTTTTAGATGGCGTCTTATCCCTTGCCACAGTTTGGAAATTTGTAAAATGAGACAGGAAATCATAGGGAATAAAGAAATGTTAGAAGTGCCTTTTACTCAGAAAAAGTTTGAAGACAATCCAGTTTAGACTCTGCCACTAATGTTTGGAATTCTAATATATAAACCTCAAAGCGCCCTCTGCTGGCAGCCATTATTAATCACCATTAGTCAATACAAAAACAATGCAGACTTCATTGATAGATAGGTTTTAAGCTGGCGATGAGACATAAGGGAATTCTATTTACATTTATGTTTTCCAACTGGAAAAAAAAAAAGAATTCAAGTATCATAAGTTAAAACAGCACTAAATTATACAGAATCTACAGTTATAAGACTTTAAAACGTTTTCAGCTAGCCTTGGCAGCATGGCTCGGTGGTTTGAGCATTGGCCCATGCATTGAAAGGTCACAGGTTCCATTCCAGTCAAGGGCATGTACCTGGGTCGCAGGTTCATTCCCAGCTCCATCAGTGTTCATGCAAGAGATAACCAATCAATGTGTCTCATCTCGATGTCTGTCTCTCTTGCCTCCTTTCCCCCTCTCTTTCCCCTCTTCCACTCTCTCTAAAAATCAATGGAAAAAATATCCTCAGGACAACTCACCAGCCTTTAATGGCTTTACTGTGAAAATACTATTTTACTTTCCTTTATAAAAACAGGAGTGCCCCCACTTCACTGCTAGAGGGTACTTCTACCGGTCTGTTCCTCCCAGGGTTATTAGGAAAAATAGAACACTGGGGACTAGTTATGGTTATGGGAAATATTAATTATGCTCTTAACCATACTGCCCTTTCTCTTAAAAGAAAGGACAAACTGACAAGGCTGGGAGTCACCCTTGGAATGTGGCTCCTTCCCATTCAGAAACTGCCCATTATCATGGAAACATTAACCTTGTGGCCCAAACAATGGAGTCCCCACCCTGCCTGTATAGCTTACTTCCCCTAGCCTGTAATCTCTGCTTCCCCACATAATCTTTGTCCCTATTATTCATAAACCAGGGAAGAGCAAACTAAAGTCCCCAAGAAACAGAAAGCCAAAATTACATTATAGACACACAGACAGAAATGTCACTAGCGAAGAGTTTCTGGTGGGTGACGGCCAACAGATCTTAAAACAGCTAATGAAGATAGAATCAGGGTAAGAAAAAGAGGGGGGAATTTGTAAGAAATATGTCTCTGATTTATCTTCACAGAAAAGAAACAGCTGTGGCCTGGTAGCTGCTGAATTTCCTCACAGCAAACAGGATGTGGGGGTGGGGGAGAGGATGAGAGCCGCACACTGGCTGACAGCACTAGTCCTAGGAAGATTCCCCTCTAGACAAAGGGAGGTGGAGGCGACTAGAGAAGGCCACAGCCCATTTTAAAAAATAACCCAATGGGAGGCAGCAAGACCTCGGCAGCCTATTAGGAAACAGGTGACCAAGGGTCCTCAGCCAATGAGGAACTGGAGGAGGGTCTAAATAAATAGGCTATGCCCCTTGCCCCACCTGTGATCCTGTACAATGGGCACCTGCTCTCCAGAGCGTAATTAAGTCTCATTTTCGAGGATTAACAAAAAAGTTTTCAACTATTACAAGCAAATCTAAAACACCATTTGAAAATGAATGAACTCATTTACAATTATTGAAAATATTTTTATATTAAAAGTAACATTTTTAGAAATATTTTATTATGAATAGGTATCAATATTTCTGGAATAAATATGACACATGTCTATGCTTCTAACATTATTCCTTTATTCCTTGGTCAAAATCAAACAAACCCATGACTATCTTCTTTCAGTCTTTATGTAAAATTTCTAAGAAAAATGGCTATAAAAAGAATAAAAATTAAATTATATGGAATTATGAACATTAAATTTGCATTTATTGTGATTAATAGTTTATTACTCTAATACAACCTTAAAATTTAATTAAATTAAATTAAGTGGTGGTGGGATAAATAATATCTTGAAAATTCGTATCAGCTATATTAATTTCTAAACTGATAATTATTCAGCATCATCATAGGAAGATACTTAAAATGCCAGCATCATTTATTTAGCTCAACAAAATTAACTAACTTCGTGTATTTACATACAGTACCTATTTATTTTTTTAAATATGTTTTTATTGATTTCAGAGAGGGAGAGATACATCAATGATGACAGAGAATCATTGATTGGCTGCCTCCTGCACACCCCACACTGAGGATCGAGCCCACAACCTGGGCCTGGGCCCTGACCGGAACAGAGCCATGATCTCCTGGTTCACAAGTCGACACTCAACCACTGAGCCATGCTGTCCAGGCAGTACCTGTTTATCTTAACTGCATCTAGAAATATTATAGAAATTATATACTTTCTAATTTTCAAAGCTCTAATAATCTTGTGCATATAGACTGAGGTCACTAAACCTCACTTTAATTTTTGGTATAATTCAATGTACCAACTAATAATAATGATGATGATAATTCAATGTACCAATAACAATGTTTAGCTCCTTATAGAAGGAACTATGAAATAATCTGCTTCTAGATCTTCATATAAAATATCAATAGACTAATTCACTCTCCAATATGAATTAATATTTTTGACTTGTTATTTGTATTATAATTATCACTTAGAATATTCCTGATTAATAATGTAGAGATTCTATTTATGTTAAGTAGATTATTGGGTAAAGACACAACTATACAAGAATCTTTTTAAGCCAAAACTGGTTTGGCTCAGTGGAAAGGTCCCAGGTTCGATTCCGGTCAAGGGCATGTACCTTGATTGCATGCACATCCCCAGTGTGAGTGTGTGCAAGAGGCAACTGATTGATGTTTCTCTCTCATCGATGTTTCTAACTCTCTATCCCTCTCTCTTCCTCTCTGTAAAAAATCAATAATATATATATATATTTTTTTAAAAGAATCTTTTTAAAATGTTGAGGATAAAAAGTAAAATAAAATTCTGAGGATAAAATTGGGCAAGTAAGAAACAAAAGCCTACAAAGCCTACAATAGACAAATATAAACTGTCTATTTAATGCTAGAGCACTTTGACTTGTATTAAAAGTTTCTTTTTATTTAATTACATACTTTGATTCTATATTAATGCTATAGCATACAAATATGTTGCAATGTTCCTAAGCTTTTTACATGGTGAGTTTTTTGCAGTCAGTAAATAGTAATAACAATATAATCCTTGTTTAGAATTTTATCTTCTTCCTAAGCATATCTTAATTAGTACACATTTCAATTAAATGGAACTATAGTCTCACTATACGGTTTTGAATAAACAGAAGGAAAAATACAAATTTTAAACTAAGCAACTAAGTCTTGTAGGAATTTACTGCCACCTTCAGGTTTTAATCAAAATACAGTAGTACTACAGCTTTTACATTTCCAGGAGCCAGCCTGTGCTTAATGTATCAGAGATACATTATTTTCTGGTTTGGAGAGCAAAGTACTAAGACTGCAGTACAAATGTCTTTCATGAAGTACTTGGACTTTTTCATTTTTTTTTTAAATAAATTTTTATTGTTCATATTATTACAAATG